GGTGGGAGCCTATGACAGTACACACCGTGCACACACACACTCCACACTGCCGACAGTATATACGGTTTATCTCCTGATGCTCCTGGCACCTCCAGGGGGAGAAATCCTCCATGGGGGGAATCAGGGTGTGATTCTGGAAGACAGGGGAGTCCAGGTGGGGACGCAGATGCTCTGAACACATGGAAGCTCCGCACACCAGACAGGTCTTTACAGCGGGCTGGTGCCTCATTTTAGGGCAGTAATGGCAGGGCACAGGGCTGGCATGTTTGCCCTCTGACTCCGGGGAGTACCCAGTACGATATGGGGATACTGGAGCAACAGCAGGAGGTTTGTTGGATATCAAGGAAGGCCTGCTGATGTTGTGTACAGGAGACTTACCTGGAGTGGAGACTCCAGGGAAGGAATCAGAGTTGGCAGACATGGCAGGTTTCTTTGGCGATGCATGAATTGTGGCATGTGTGCCTATCTTGGGGGTTGCAATAGCGGGTGCATCACATATATCTACTTCGTTGGAGGTGTCAGAGTCATCCATTGCGACGACTTCTTCTGATTTATGCTGGTTCTGCTGGGTTGAGATGTCATCATATGGCACATCACGTGAAAGTACTGAGTTGCTGTCAGAATTGTCACCGGAGGATGCCGATTCTGGTTGCACTGCTTTCTTGGATGTCTCCCCACTAGTCGACTGTGCAGGTTTATCTGAGAAGGAAGTGCTGGGAGTCTCTGGGTCGTTGGACCGCTCAAGTGGAGACGCCACAGTTGATCGCTTTGTTGCAGGTTGCTCTGATACAGGTGTGCTCGCTTTTCTCTTCCCAAGAAGTCTGCTGGTGAGTGAGGGCCTCCGCAAATTGTCATTTGTATTTTGTTCAGCAGTTCTCGAAGTGCCTTTTTAAAAGAAATAGAATACAAACAAATAAATATTTGTTAGAGGGAGGGTTGACTAAGTATTACTGAACATCTGCATGCTGCCTTCTGCCCAGCATAACTCATACTGCCTACTGAGTAGTTCCACTTTATTCAGTAGTGAGTAGTTATCATCTAACTCAATTCTCTTTTGTTATTCTTTTGTTTGTTACTATGCCACCTTGTAAGCTCACTTTGTAAAGCTGGCAGTCGAAGTCTACGGTCTGCGATAACTGACTAACATGAAACTGTATTTACTGTGGTTAGGTAATGGCATGGCTGGTACAGTACCTGATACACTTAATAAAGGTCAGTATCAACATGGATACTTATCATGGATTTCGGATTGGTGTAACCTTTAAACTGGTATCACTTGAAATGACTCAGTTAAGCATTAGTCATAAGCCGTAGAATACAAATATTTAATTAGAAAGAGGTGAATAAGAAAGAAAACATATGCCATTTTATGCTAAAAACACAGGAAAACTGAATCACTCCACACTATGAACAGCTCAGACCTTAACCCTCACTGTCTATTTGCTAATGAGAACTATACACTTTAGAGAGATAAGATTTAGCCTCTGACCCCTCAAACAAACACGACATTGCCATCATGAAATCACACAGGAGTGAATGCATAAAAAATAAGCAATTTGAACTGCCTCTTTATTTACAAAACGTTGAGGATGTTGTGGGATTGGCATTTCCGGTAAGGAAGTAGGCTAAAGAAAATATATTAGCGTGCCAAATTAATGAATAGTTGTTTAGCTTTTGGCAAGCACTTAAACAAAAAAGCTATTCAAAACTAAAAGTAACGTAGCTAGTCTGTTCAACAGGGACAAGCCAGTTTGAGTTATCTTACGTTGCCTTACGTTTATGTAACACATGGGAGGGAGACCTCTCACGTTAACTAAGTTAGCTAGCTTTAACTGCTGCATTCGCTACTTAATGATCCTTTATTCTAACCACACGTTAACAACCATAGTTGCCATAGTTTCAACGGTACCTGCAGTATTGCGAGGCTGAGCCAAGCGGTAGTTGCCTGGCAGCAGTTTGCCATCAAACGGCAGAGTCTGGTACACAGTTGTGCACCTCCACTCCGGACAGTGGTACGGTCCGGTCGGGGTTACACTCCACAAGTCTCCAATGCACCGCGGGCAGAACTGGTGGTTACATCTCAGAGTGACGGGTTCCCGGGTCAGCTCGTTGCACAGGGGACACTTCGTCGGGGTGTCCAACGAAGCTCCCATTTTGTTAAGATTGATTTGTAGTTTCTGTTTCCGCCTAGCAGGAGGCGGGACTTCATGTTTGAATCCCGCTCCCCTTCCTGGTAGGAGAAGCGCCGTTAGTCACGTGCCAGGAGGGGCCTAGGTTGAGAAGGAGGCGCCGTTAGTCACGTGCCTCAAAGGTTGAGAAGGAGGGGCTTGAGGTACTGCGCACTGCAGTGATGGGTACTATACTACCCTGGTAGTGCTTGTCTTAAAGGGACACCCACATTGAATCGGGGAGCAAGTAGCCTACTGTAAGATATTTTGATTTTGAACTAAAGCACTACTAAAAAATACCCCATTACAGTCCAGCATTCATATACAATGGTACCAACGTGTTGCAACAAAATGTACTTAAAGAGTACACAATAAAGGGTAAGCATTAGGTGCAACAAATAATGGCTAAATGTGGTATTTTCTTAGTTCCCTTCTCCCCCCACAGCATTCCTGTATTTGTGGTGGTCTCATAGACTGTATAAGGGTGGTCTAGACATGTGACTTGGATAAATGTTATTGTTTCGTGTGACTGTGAGTTAGAGGATAATCTTTCATAATCTCAAAGACGTTTTATCTTTCAAAGAGACTGCTCTTGCTTGTGTTGCCTGGAAATATGAAGTAAGAGTTGTGACTGTAACAGCTACATTCAAATGTTGTGCTTTGACTTTAGGGTCAAATAATTTAAAGGTTAGTATTAAATAAGAAGTACATTTGAAAAATCTTATTCCCACATTACTATTCCATCAATAAACTCTCTTGCTTTCAGACTGTGGCATCATGGCCTGTCTTGCATAAAAGAGAAACCAATTAAGCCTTAAAGTATGTGGCTCTCCTTTTCCAGACAAATACATTTTGAGTGACTGTCAGTGTCAAATGAACATTTATTTCAATCTATCTATCTTATATTATTATATTACAATTCATATATTTTAATCAGATAATCAGACTTAGAATGTTTTTGTTCTTGAAACCATTTTATTTTTTAACACAAATACTTTGTTGTCATTATCTCCTACAAGTAACTTATTTTATTTCCTGCTATGTGTTCTACAGCTTCTTAAACAAAGTCATTTTAGTTGGTGATGCATTATTGCATAATTTCTCATCTTGCAAAGTCATCATTATTTTAAATGTCCAACTTATTCTGACTTTTGGTTCATATAGTGTCAAACCAGTCGTACTCGGAACACACAGGATCCTACATTTCCCAAAATACAAGTTGATCAATCTACAGAGGACTTTACTTAAAGGGGAGTCGGGACCTATCATGCAAAATGCACTTTTTGATGTCTTTTATACATAAATATGTGTCCCCGGTGTGTCAGGGAACTCACGCAGCGTCAGAAAATAAAACCCTCTCTTTTCCTCCGTACCCAAATCTCTAAAAACGGGGGTAAAGGAGCTGATCCAGATTTGCGTTTTAAAAAAAAAGCTTTCTACCCCAAATCAGCACTTTTAAAACAGGAAGAGAAATAGAGGGATATGAGGCATGGGTGATCTGTTTGGTATTTTGAGCAAAACAATTCATAGACATGTTTTTTATATTTTTTTATATATCTGAAACCTATGCTATTGCCTAAAAATAGCATGATGGGTGCACTTTAAGTTTATCACAGGCTGAGTTACTTAACTTTATTAATACTATAATAATCATTTGGAAACATCACTTTTGTCAAATAAAGACACACAACAGAGATGTACAGTGAAAACCTTTATTAAGTGTTCATAATTCATATATTCTTAAAGGAATCTCTTTTCTGGTTCTAGATTAACCTCCTCCATATTTGCTAATTGCTTGGTATCTATAGAATATTTATTTACACAGAAAAATATCCACAGGTGACGCTGGGACAGCCTTACTTATCCATAACCACCACATTTCACTCCTCAGGCACACCAGTCACTATACATTATACTCCAACTCCATCATGTTACCCTGTATGTCCCAACAAAACAAAGCGAGTAAAAGGGGAGTTAAAGAGAGAAAAACGGAAAGAGGGAGCTGGAGACAACGACAGAGACACACACATTTAGCTACACGACAGAACAATTGTGTGTGTGAGGCTGGCATATTGGTTCTTTAGGCCAACTATAATAGCACATTCACACCAACACTCACATGTGCATGCACTCACTCACACTCACTCACACACAAACAAACAGACCTTCCATACACACACACATACAGAAGCACACTCACACAGCGGCTATGAGTCCTGCAGCACACAGTCCTTATAGCTCCATCACAGTGTAGATACCAGAGACTATAAAATATCAGATTTCTTCTCAAACTGAAGCGCTGTGCAAATTTAGCTAGCAGGGCATTGAATGGATTTAGTTAAAATTCCTAGAACATCTTTAATATTCACTGTACATACTTTTAAATACAAGTTTTTTTCTCTTTTAGATGATAATATTCTTATACAAAATATCTTAAATATTTTTTTTCTTCCATTAAATGAAGTAGAACAATGGGGTGTATGAGCAAAAAAGAAACTTCAATTTTTCATTGTCAAACTTTACATATGAAACACAATAGATTTACATCAACTCGATAATATCTGAAAATGAGCAGTTTCTTTTTTTTCTCACAAATAAAACATGACACACATTCTGACGGTGGTACACACGGCTAAGTGTTAAAATAGTTTAATACTTGTAATTACAGAGTTTTTCAATGTTTTTCTTCAAATGTACTGTATGTGCGTTGAGCTGTGTTTGTGCATATGAGTGTGGTGGCTTGTGTTTGTTTGTGTGTATGTGTGTGTGTGTCTGTGCTCGTACTGCAGGTGTACAATGTCAACCCTGTGCCTTCTCAGGTAGGTAATGGGAAGTCTGTATACTTCTCGGTAGAATAACAGTCTCTGCCCCTGCCATGGTCTATGCAATGTTGTGCAAGGGTGAGGTCTGTAGACACATTGGGGTAGAAGTGCATCGGGCTCCATCTAAGTGCTGGGGACGATTCGGGGACGGCAAGCAAAATGGATGGACTTTGAGGGTAGGGTACACTGGGTATTTGGCAGGTTGATGTGAAAGGCAGGCTGGCTGGTTCCACAGAATTCCTCTCCTCCACAGAACTGGATGGCCTCTCTCCGCTAAGCTGATGTTGAGGGTTGACGGGTACTTCATGAAAACAGACACATGGAAATTCAGGGACCTGAGGGAAAGAGAAATATTTTATTTTTTGCAAAAATGCATTTATTTCCTTGAGTGCTTTGTTCTTTACTTGAGTTTTTCTTTTTCATACTACTTTAAATGCCTGCTACATTTCATTGAAATGGGAACTATTGATTTTTCTAAACTCTTATTATATTGGTTAAAAAGGCAATTTGCTTAGTACATTTTCCTGAAAATACTCTTTTTATTGAGCAGAAATATGTATGTAGCAAATGTAAGAATAATGTAATTAGTAGTTTTACTTGAGTAGATGATGTGATTATTCCTCTACCACTGATATAAATGTAGTTGTACTTCTATTTGAGTATTGAGTATATTTCAGTAAAAGTAAAATATTGCTATTTTTTTTCATTTACTTGAAACTGACGATACACTATGGTATTTTATTAAAGTATCTGAGTACTTGTTTTACTGTCTGTTGAAGGGGGCTACAGGAGTAAAAGAGTGATGAAAAGTGTCAATTATAAAATTAATTGACACTTTACTGGGAATGTGGACACACATCTCATGGTAATCAAATATAAAAGAACATTGATGATGATGATGATGGCCGACATAAGGTCATTGATTGATAGATGGACATATCTAAAGATGTTCATTATGTTAGACCTTACTTACCTTAAGATTTTGGTTAGGCATTGCCTCCCTCTGCAAAAACATAAACACAGAGTAAAAGATAAAAGTGCTAACACGGTTCTCAAGGTCGGGCTATATTAGACTCCCTTGTTCACATCCTTCCCTATGACTGGTTGGGTGTATTGCACACAAACACCAGTAGATGGCACCAGGGATGAGCTAAAGTGTATTTAACTGTAGTAAAATATTCATATTAATAGATTTCCCTGAGCCCTAAACCAAGGAATGGTTAATCAATGAAGCAGAGAGGCTTTTTATTGACTAGTTAAGTTATCAATCTTAGCATTCAGAGTTTCACCTTTTAGATCTTCATCTTGTTTTATTCTCTCAAATGTATCATTTGAATATATCATATATAAAATATAGATTGCATTTAGCTCCTGTGAGATGTGGTTGTATTACTATGTAGAGAATAGTACCAGCTGCATGCACAGATGGTTTGACAATTTAACTAAAATGATGAAACATATTTGCTTCTCTTATAAGAAAGTGACATTTCAAGCACCTTCCGCCCCTTTCAAGTATTGTCATATTTTCATTATTTCTTCTTCTTTCTCCACACTTTAGTTTGATGGGTTGTTGGTTGCCCATGCCTACCTGGTTCTATTTCAATCTACATGGCATGGACAAACTAATCCCATTTCCCTCTGGGAGACATACCTGGATCCGGGCCTTTTCACAGTAGACCTGTGATAGTAATGCAGACATTGCATATTCATGGACACACGCCAGGCCATTTCCATGATTAAATCATGAAAATGGGTCGGATATTAAGATATTCCAGCTGTCTTTGGATCTTAGTAGCGAGCACATACAGTATGTGACTTGAAATATAGGTATAACATTTAAAATGAACCTTAAAGGATGTTAAAACCCCTTTACTAGCAGAACACCAGTAAAGCGGTTTGTTACCTTAGTTTGGATGCCGTCCGCTTGAATCCTCTCAGCCTTGACCAAATATACATTGTTTGACAGCAGATTGCCCTGTGAATCTCTGTGTAAATGCATTTAATATTACAATATTTCACTAAGAGATGTTAATTTAGCAAAAGAGCAAACAAATTGGAATGGTAAAAACATGTCAAATTAGGTGGGAGAAAAAAAAGTTTTTCATTTATTGCATATATGGTTGCAAAACAGTGCTTCTTTTCAATGCCTCAATATTAGTGCACATAGTTGTCTTTTGATTTATTTTAGTGTAATTAACACTTTATTAAAAAGTTAGCTCATGTAGCCACTTTTTCCAAATAAATGTATATCTTTCTACATTTAGTTTAGTTTTTATAAAGGCTGCATCAAAACTTTACTTCCAGTGGATGAATAAAAGAGTGCACAATTCAGCTTAGCAAGGTTGAAAGTCACATGGTTTGTGTTAGATGAGAATACTATTCTTAAGAAAGTTGGACCAGATGCACTTGTTTACATTTGAACATAATATTGGCAATTTACTGAAATGCAAGTCAGGCGTTATTGTAATGAGCCCAAAATATAATAATATATAATATAATTGACTTTAAGTGTATGCTTTTTGCTAGCCCACTATTGCAGAAATTACAAGAGTGCACTTTTAGGGCAAGTTGTCTTGTGGCCAGCCAAAAACAAACTTAATGCACATAAGTGACTCTAAGATGTAAACCATTATGCAAGCTACAAAAATAATAATTGGAAATTCACTGTAATCTGTTTCTAGATGCATGTTTTTTGTATGCGATAATTGTGTAGAGATATTTATTATTTTGAAAAATAGATTTGGTGAGGAAGGTAGCCTTAAGATGAAAGAAGCTGTCCTACACCATATATGAATCACTTTAGGTTCACATGATGGCAAGTATAGCAGACTTGTTGAAGACATTAAATCCCAACATGTTCTGAGCCTGGCTTTGAATTCCAGCACAGTGCACAGGCCAAGAGTACATTTCCGAAAAGAGATCAATAAAATATCACATATTGTCGGATTAGATAGTATATTCTCACCCTTGCTCTCAGCCAGCAGCTCTTCTGACATGAGTCCGTCCTGCCGGTTCCCGAGGACGAAGGCCAGGAAGGAGAGGATGAGAGCGTCCAGGATGCCCATGATGGCCAAGATGTAGGCCCAGCGCACTGAGCAGGCTCCCAGGCTGTATTTGTCCGTCTGCTCCCCGCACATCTTCCGCACCTCGTCACTGTCCCAACCATCAGGATAGATGATACAGCCCAGCACCAGACAGACACCTAGTGAGAGGAGGGAGTAGGAACAAAAGGTATCCACAGGAAATAGATGAGTTTGGGGAGGGGAGTGCAGTGTAATAAATGAGGTCAGAAATAATGACATTTTGTGGGGGAAATGAGAAAAAATGAAGAAGAAGAATGATCATTTCAACTGCTTTTAAAATCTCTACCCAAATGTTCTCCTCTCTGGAGGTTTCGCTGTGTTTGTATTGCACTTATCACATTGATTGTCATTGACTCCCTTAGGTAGAGATTAGTCACTAGACACAATGTGGAAAAGCAGTAAAAACATCAGTAAACAACCACAGCCACACAATAACAGCAAGAGTATTTGAGTGTCGTCACTGTTCCGATTACATCAAATGTCTTGAAAAAGGCCTTGGATTTCATCACATTCACATAGTTTGCTTGTTTTGTTACACAACGTCATGCCTGCCTCTCTCCTTGGATTTGTATTAGATTTAACTGGCTGCTCCTCATTCTTAGTTTTTGCCCAAAGGCTAAAACCTCTTTCATCTTTAGTTTGAAAGAAATTCTTCTCTGAGGTGATGCTGCGGCAGAGCAGTATACGGAAAAGAAAAAAAGAGTGCCCATGCAGTGGTGCCGCCTTTCTCTCTCCCTCTTTAGATTTTTAACTAAGCTCCTCATTCTCACTTTTTGCCCAAGGGGAAAAATCTCTCTCATCTTCAATTTGGATTAGGTTCTCCTTTGAGGTGATGTTGCAGCAGAACAGCAGAGGACCTGGAAAAAGCAGCTGACTGCACAATTACCCGGAGTGTATAGCACATTAATAATAAAACACACTCCCTACTTCTGATCCACAACTCCTCCCTATAATCTTTCTCCCTGTACACTACTTGTTTGTGTTCCAGGCTTTTGAACATTATTTTGTGACTTCAATGAGTTTGCTACACTCCTAATCTGCATTTGAAGGACCTGCATGCTGCTTTCACTTTGATGCCTTTAAACAGAAGTGTATGTTTATATAACGTATGGATCATTTTCCTTATGTATCTTCTCTCTACAACCAAAATAGAAATCAATATGCTCTTTACTCTCTTCTTATGTGCATACACAGGCTGCTCACACTTACACATTAAAACACTCACGCTGCAGTTTGTTACAGTAAGGCCGCAGTCTATAACAGTGCCCAAAGATATCAGTGGGTGTTGAGAGATGTTACAGTGAGAAATAGAGTGAAATAACAGAGAGCTATATGCTGCAGAATCACTGCATACCTAACATAGCAGAGCATATCCACTCCTCTTCTACCTTCCCCCCCCGTGGCTCTGTCATAACAAATTCATATTCACGCCGAGGTTCAGAGAGCAAGGACTTTTATTCAGGCTCAGATGGACGGATGGTGGAGTACTGCAGTGACCTATTTCAAGCATTTATATGCCATTTGGCAGGGGAAACATTAGTTTACATTGCAATGTGAGCAAACATGTGATAAAGCAACATACATTTGATTTGGTGATGTTGGTGTTGTCAGGTTGTGATAAGGCTAGCATCACAGCCTGTCAAACGTCATCGAGAGTCTATTACATGATTCAGTTCCTGAGTGAATCACTGAGGCATAGATGTACTCTGTCGCCGGTGACTGGGTCCACTTGTGTCCTATCGCTAACAAGTCTCCACTGACCGTTTATAAGAGTGTGTCTACAGAGAGTAGGTCCTGACGTGGCAAAGCGTTAAAAAAATTGCGGCAGTGTTGTTGAACAAATCCAACTTGAGTTATGTTTTTCTGAAAGTGGCTCAAGGCAAAAGCAGAATATCTTCAGTCCAGCACATAACAGAGACAGTCCTCACCAGTGTCTTCATGGTTGGTTCAGCCTTACAAGATTTTTGAAAGTTGACACAACATATCTGCCTTTCTCTGTCCTTGATTGAACACCAAATGACCTACAACCCAAAAAGTGTTTAAAGTCCACCATCCATAGCTTGTAGCAATAACAAAAGTAGCTTGCTCGCTCAGATTTTTTTTTAGGAGTGGTTTGCTTTGCACTGAATTGTTGGGTTTATTTTTATAGCAGAGAGGACCCTAACATGTTCAGACTGGGTTGGATGGAAAGTGATGAAATGAGATAAAACAATAGAAACTGTATTAGAAATATAACATGATAATAGAACTGACTTTGACCTTTGCTCTTTTAAAGGGAACTGTCCATCTTTAGATGGCGCTGAAAGCTGAGTCATCAGTCAGCTGCCATGTTATCAGTCGAGCTGAAGGGGAAGCTGTCTTTCAGTGGGGGTTTGAGAAATGGTCGATAGTGGTACATAAATCATGTTTTCAACTTTGAACAATGAGATTCATCCAACGGTGCTTCTACTAACTGCATGAATGCTTTGCATATTATGGGTGTTTATGTAACAGCTTAACAGAGGGAGTACCACGGTATACAGCTTTTGATATTATGTAAGTCAATACATGTTTCTACCTCCCTCATGATGCATTTACTACAAAGGTAACAAAAGCTTTTCTAGATCCTTCTGGGTGTCTCCTGTACGCCATAATGAATATTACATCAGGAGGAGATAGAGGAGGCACACACACATCTCTGGAGAAGGTGAGAGAGAAGGGTGCAGGAAAAATACGAATAAAATATATGTGATGAACGCTGAAAGCATCAAGGTGCAGATACTAAAAGAGAACAAAAAAAAGATGTCATAGTTCTGGATGCCATACAAAAGATCTACCCCAATCAACTTGTGGGGATTATCCCAACAGAGGGAGCCACATATGCTGCTCCTGCTTCCAGAAACAGCTTGTGGGTAGGGGAGGAGACCATGTCCCATCAAAACACTGTAACGGTAAGACTGGAGTCTTCTAATCCAAAACCACAATCTTGCATGCCCGCTCCAGCACCCATTCACGTAACGAGGAGATTACCTTTTTCACACTTAGGCAAGCATTACAAAAATAAAAATGATGTATTGCAATTTTGTTGGAAAAGCAACATATGTACTTAAACTAATTTTAAAATACTTCATGCATGCATATACATTTACGGGTAATATAGTTTTTGATAATATATCAGATATGATCTGGGGCATTACGTTCAATTAACAGTACTTCTATGATGTTTAGGAAAAATAGACAACATGGATGCCAAATGCAGATCAATACTAATGTTTATATACTTTGAGGAATGCCAAAATGGGGACTTGAATTTAAGTTTTGGGTAATAGAAACCCCATTATCTCATTATCTGTTGGCATCAGCTGGCGTCACCCCCTCTCCACTAGAGCAGAGCTTCATGCTGCAGTGATAAAAGGTAGCAGCAGAAATAGCAGCACACCTGACAGAATGCAGCTGTCAGTGGGGGTGGAGACGAGATATTAACTGACTACATTATCCTACTCTTTCCGCTTTGCCCTTCTCTCTGTCAAGCTGGAGAGCAGCAGACAGGCTCGGAGAGAGGAGAGACAGATCATTAGGGACGGGCGAGGCAGAGAGAGAGGAGAGGGGGTGAGAGACAGCCCCTGTGTGGCCGCCAGCAAGTACCCAGCACCTCACGTCATAAGCACTGGCTACCATATGCTGGAGCCCCATGGCGGAGCTATTCTCAGCGTCTACTCCTTTTTGTGTTTTCCTCAAACTATCAGTAAGTCTCTTTTTCTGTGAGGGGAGACCTGGACTGTGAAATGCGTGTTGGCTCATCACAGCTTATGTAAGAGACGATAGGTAGGGCAGATCAAGTGTGAACAGCTCGACAGGGGAGTGTGAGGGCAGACCAGCAGATGGTTCAGAGCCGTATGATGGCACTACATTTGTCAGAAGCACATGGGCTCTTTTTCCGCAAAGAGACAACTAAATCCCATTGATACTAAAATAATCCCATTGCCGCCTATAAAAAAAAGTGTGGCATTTGCAAGAAGTGACTAGAGACCCCATCTGACGACCAAAGCAGACCATTTTGTTTGTTATTTGCAAAAAAACAGTTACTGCATAGGATTTCATCTGCCTCCATAGCATCTGGTTATTGTTTTCACTATAACTCTGTGAATGCAGTCACATGTCTGGGTGTGTTGTCAGTGTTTCAGTATGTCATTGATTTCACTGGGTGGCAGATCCAACACTTACACATCTGCAGTACATTTAAGCAGCCATGAAAAGGGATTCACATTTTTTAACTCCCACAGTCCTTTGTGGACCCCATTTTCTTCTCCATAACTGTGACATACTAAATTATGCATACACACATCCCAAACTGCAATCTCACACTGCATATGGATCCAGTTGTATCACACACACAAACACAGACAGTCATGCTGGTAAACATGCCCCTCTTTGTGTAAATGATACACTGCAGCTGAACATCATTTGTCACTTCTCATAGTGACACATCTTGGCGCTGGTGAGTGTGTGAACTGTCAGACTCTCTGGCGCATGAGCCCGAGGCAGTGGCATTTAAGGTAAAAGTCAGCTCAAAAAACTAATCAGCACAGACGCTCAGGGAACAGCTTTGAGTGTTTATCCCAGTAGGGTGTCTTTATGAATATGCATAAGTAAGTTTGCTTTAATGTTTCACTCCCACAGGTGAAATGGTGACCTGAATGAGGCGCACTCTTACTAGTTTAGTTCAAAGGGTTCTTTGTGCACTGCGGTCTTTTATGTATCTGTAATGAGATAGTCACATCCAAAAAGAACAAAATAGCAGCTTGTGATTGTTATTCGTTGGGTAGTAGTGTGATCCATAACCCCTAAAGACATGATTTATCTGCGTTGCTTTTACCAGCATTGGGACTGCTCAGGCCTGGTGTGACTGTGTTTGGATGAGTCAGATTACTTAGACTAGCACTTAGTGGGATATAAATGGGATCGTAAAGTAACCTAAAGATTCGAGGATCAATGGTTGACGTCAATGGCATATTACATTCTGCTAAGTTTCCTCCAAGCACTTGAATGCACCAATAATATTGAATGTTAGAACATATGTTAAGCTCATTCACGCCTTATAGTATTATTCAATGTTTTTGGGAAAGACTAAATCAAGCTA